GGGGGAAGCAGCTTTTGCATCCCGGGATGCTGCGGGGAGCGGGAAGGAGCAGCCCCGGCTCCGGGCCCTGCACCTGCAGCTCCTGCACCGCATGCAAAACTCCCCTCGGAGGCTCCGGGCAGCTCCAGGGTGGGGTGGGCGAGCCAGCCACCCCCTTCCCCGCCTCATCCCGCAGGGAAACATCCCCCGGAGCCCAGCGGGGAATTCCTGCGGCTCCTGGATGCTGTGGGAAGGAGCCCGGTGGCTCCGGGGGTGGCTGTGCCGGGCGGGCTGAGGCAGCCGGAGCGCGGCTCGGGGATGCTCCAGCCCGAGGCGCTGCTCCCGGTTCATCCCGCTGGGATGTTCCCCGTTCCCTCTCGCCCCTTCTTTGCCTCCGGTGCCGGGAGCGGGGCCGTGGTGAGGAGATTTTGGCGTCTAGACAGTTTGGGAGCTGCAGGCTGTGCCTCGCCTGGCGTGGGGCTCCGGGTGCTGCCGGGTGAGGCTGTTCCAGACGGGATCTTTGAGCCCGGCCCTATGTGGCTCCCGGAGCTTTCCCCGTGTGCCCAGACAGCCATAAAAACCCGGCACAGAGAGCAAAGATCCCCCGGCGGGCTGGGGCAAAGCGCCGGGAACTGCCGCTCTCATCTGGGCAGCCCCAAGTGTCCCTGGGGCAGCGGGAGCGGGGCTGGGGCTGCTCCGGGAGCGTCCTGGTGGGGTTGGAGCTGGGATCTCAGAAAGCACCTTCTGTGTGTGCCCCAGGACCTGGGAATGGCACAGCAGAGCAGGGAATGGGATTGGGGCTTCTTCAGGAACCTCCTGGTGGGGTTGGAGCTGTGTTCTCCAAGTCAGGGACCACCTTCTGTGTGTGCCCCAGGACCTGGGAATGGGATTGGGGCTGCTCCAGGAGCCTCATGGTCAGTCTGGAGCTGTGGAATTATGTTGTGCATCCTCTGGACAGGGACCACCTACCTTCTCTGAGCACCTGGGAATGTCACAGCGGAGCAGGGAATGGGTTGGGGTTGCCCTGGGAGCTTCCTGGTGGGGTTGGAGCTGTGTCCTCCGTGTCAGGGACCACCTTCTGTGTGTGCCCCAGGACCTGGGAATGGCACAGGGGAGCAGGGAGTGGGACTGGGGCTGCTCCAGGAACCTCCTGCTGGGGTTGGAGCTGTGGAATTTTGTTGTGCCTCCTCTGGAGCGGGTCCACCTTCCCTGAGCACCACAGCACCTGGAAATGTCACAGTGGAGCAGGAAATGGGACTGGGGCTGCTACAGGAGCCTCCTGGTCAGTCTGGAGCTGTGACCCCAGGGGCAGGGAGCACCTTCCCTGCACACCTGGGAATGTCACAGCGGAGCAGGGAATGGAATTTGGGCTCCTCCAGGAGTTGGGATCTCAGGAAGCACCTTGGGATCAAAGGCAGCACCTTGGAGCTGAGATCTTGGGAGCAGGGAACACCTTCCCTGTGTGCACCCCAGGACCTGGGGGTGAAGTGTGGAATGGGACTGGGGCTGCTCCAGGAGCCTCCTGGTGGGGGTGGGGTTGGGATCTCAGGAAGCACCTTCTGTGTGTGCCCCAGCAGGAAATGGAATTTGGGCTCCTGCAGGAGCCTCCTGGTGGGGTTGGAGCTGTGCTGTGCCCGTGCCACGCTCCTTTGGGGCAGGCACCAGCTTCCCTGGGCACCTGGGAATGTCACAGCGGAGCAGGAATGGGTTTGGAAGGTGGTGACCACCAGGCCAGGGCTGGGGAAGGGTCCTGCCAGCCCCAGGGGTGGCACCGGGCGCAGCTGTGGAGAAGGGAAGCTCCAGGAGATGCCTCTCCCAGCCCCGAGTGTGGGTGGGCAGCACCCAGTGCCCGGTCCTGGTGCTCCCATGGGATTTTTCATCCCAATCCTGCCCCCAGCTGTGCCTGCAGGAGGAGAGGCCCCGCTCTGCCCGTGGCTTTGGGATGGGGCTGCTGTGCCAAAAAAAGGGAGCAGGGAAGAACCAGACACCAAACTGGGGCGCTCAGCCTGCCTGCTTAGCTTGGGGGGCTCCCCCGAGAGCTCCCCAGTTTCTCCTGGGCTCCTTTTGGGGAGCAGGAGGTGGAGCAGCCCCTGTGGAGCAGGGAATGGCTGGGGACATGGCCTTGGGGAGGGGACACTGCAATTTTGGGGTCCTGCTGTGGGCTGGCAGGGGGGGAGGGTGTCCCCCCCGTGCTGTGGGGACACAGGAGGGAGCAGGTCCAGGGGAAGCCACCCCGTGGCCATCCCCTAGGGCCCCGTTGTAGGATCAAGGGTGGATGCTGTTGTTCCTTCCCGGAGCTGTCCCCAGGCCCAGCGAGGTCCCTGTGGGCTGGGGGTGCCACCGGGGCCTGGCAGCTGTGACAGGCAGAGGGAGGGCAGTGCCAGGGATCGTGGCACGGTGCAGTGGCTGTGGGGCTCCATCTGTAGGGCCAGTGCCCCTGTGCCAGCTCCAGGAGCCACCCAGCCGGGCTGGGGACATGAGCAGGGACCTGCCAGCCCCACCTGAGCCATCCTGGTCACCAGCTGAGCTATTGGGGCTGTCCCGCTGCCCGTCCCCTCCCCAGGAGTGCCAATCCCGGGCTGCAGAGCCATTCCAGAGGGTTCCACACCTGCCTGGCACCAAAGGGGCTCCGAGGGATGCACAGTCCCAGGGATGTCCTGTCCAGCCCAGGGGACCTCTCTGTCCCCCACCCCGGTGTTGGGGTGCCTGGGGAGCGCTGCCCAACGCTGGGCTGCAGGATTTGGGGTGCTGGGATGTGGGAAAGGGAGCAGGGTCCCCTCTGAGCCCCAACACGGGGATGTGCCGGGGAGCTCCATCCCTACTGTCCCCAGGCTCTGGGGCGTGGGTCCAGGTGGTGCCCGGGTTCTGGAATTCAGGTCCAGGATGTCCCCAGGTTCTGGGGTGTGGATCCAGGCTGTCCCCAGGTTCTGGAATTCAGGCCCAGGCTGTGCCCAGGTTTGAGATGCAGGTCCAGGCTGTGCCCAGGTTTTGGGGTGCAGATCCAGGCTGTGCCCAGGCTCTGGAATTCAGGTCCAGGCTGTGACCAGGTTTGAGATGTGGGTCCAGGATCTGGGATCTGGTTCCAGGCTGTGCCCAGGTTTTGGGATGCAGGTCCAGGTTCTGCTATGTGGGTCCAGGCTGTGCCCAGGATCTGGGATCTCGGTCCAGGCTGTGCCCGGGTATTAGGATGTGGGTCCAGGATCTGGGATCTGGGTCCAGGCTGTGCCCAGGTTTTGGGATGCAGGTTCAGGCTGTGCCCAGGCTCTGGGATATGAGGGTCCAGGCTGTGCCCAGGTTTTGGGGTGCAGATCCAGGCTGTGCCCAGGCTCTGGGATGCAGTTCAGGCTGTGCCTGTGTTTTAGGATGTGGGTCCAGAATCTGGGATCTGGGTCCAGGCTGTGCCCAGGCTCTGGAATTCAGGTCCAGGCTGTGCCTGGATTTTAGGATGTGGGTCCAGGATCTGGGATCTGGGTCCAGACTGTCCCCAGGTTTTGGGATGCAGGTCCAGGTTCTGCTATGTGGATTCAGGCTGTGCCCAGGTTTTGGGATGCAGCTCCAGGCTGTCCCCAGGTTTTGGGGTGTGGGTCCAGGCTGTCCCCAGGTTCTGGAATTCAGGTCCAGGCTGTGCCCAGGTTTTGGGATATGAGTGTCCAGGCTGTGCCCAGGCTCTGGAATTCAGGTCCAGGCTGTGCTTGGGTTTCAGGATGTGGGTCCAGGCTCTGGGATCTGGGTCCAGGCTGCCCAGGCTCCGGTATGCAGGTCCAGGCTGTCCTCTGGTTCTGGGGTGCGAGTCTAGGCTAAGCCCAGGTTTTAGGATGCGGGTCCAGGATCTGGGATCTGGTTCCAGGCTGTGCCCAGGTTTTGGGATGCAGGTCCAGGCTGTGCCCAGGCTCTGGAATTCAGGTCCAGGCTGTGCCTGGGTTTTGGGATGCAGGTCCAGGTTCTGGTGTGGGGGTCCAAGCTGTGCCCAGGTTTTGGGATGCAGATCCAAGCTGTGCCCAGGCTCTGCGATGCAGGTCGAGGTTCTGGCATGCGGGGTGGCGGCGGCCCCGGTGCGGCACGGAGGGGCTGCTTGCCGTCCCCCCGGGGGCTGCGGCGGCGGGGGGCGGTGGGGGCGGCGCGGTCCCCCCGCCCCGCTCGGTGCCAGCCCGGCGTCACGTGCCGCTCGGTGGCCCCGAGCATGCCCAGCACCGGCTGCGGCTCCGGCTCCCGCTCCGGCTCGGGCTGGGGCTGGGGATGGGGCTGGGGATGGGGATGGGGACGGCCGGGGAGATGCTGCGCCCGTAGGCAGCCGGGGGGGACCGGCCGCTGCCCGCCCCGCACGGTGAGTGCCTCCGGCGCGGCTCCCTCCTTCCTCCTCCTCCTCCTCCTCCTCCTCCTCCTTCTCCTCCTTCGCTCTTCCACCTCCTCCTCCTCCCCCCGGGCTGCTGGGGGGCTCTTTTAGGGCAGGGGGGCTGCGCTCCGGCCCCATGGGCAGAGCAGGGCGCGCTGTGGGGTCAGCACCCCCCGGCTGCCCCAGGGGCACCCCCGTGCCGAGCTCTGGGTGGTGAGTGGGACCCCCCGAGCTGTCCCCGCCGTGTGTTTATGGGTTGCGAGCTGTTTGTGTCCCCAAAACCCCAAACGCTGCGGGCTGGGACCCGCTGGGTTTGGACCCCCCGGGCTTGGCCCCGACTCCGTGCAGGGGCAGAGCAGCGCTCAGGCTTTTTGGGGAGCCCCTCTATTCGCTGTCTCAGCACCCCCAAACCCCATCCTGGTGAAGGGGGGCTGGGAAGGGCCGGACCCCCCCGCGCTGCGCTGGGGACGGGATGTGATGGATGGGGCTGAGAGATGTCGTCTGGCGCTTCCCAGGAAAGCCGAGACCTTCCCTTGGCTCCGCGGCTCGTTTCGCTGCGTGCTGCGAGCCGAGAGCCTTCCTCCTTCTCCTCCTCCTCCTCCTCCTCCTCCTCCTCCTGGGCCGGGAGGAAGGGCAGCCCCCCTGCACCGGGGGGTGTCTGGCGGTGCCGGAGAGGCGCAGCCGCTGCCCTCAGCCCTCCTCAATCGCAGCTTTGTTGCGCCGCTCGCAGCTCGGAGGGAAACAGCCTCTGCTTCATCACATGATGGGGATGTTAATACGCCACGAGTCTATTAAACCCGGCGGAAGGGGCCGGACCGGTCTCCCCCCGGGGCTGGCCGGGGACCCCACTGCTGAGCGCGGCCCGGAGGGCTCCGTGCAGCGCCATCCCCCCGTGACACGGTCCCTCGGGGGCAGGGGGCGGCCCCCCGCTCCAGATGGCCGCGGGAGCCGCTCCGGTAATCCCCTCCGGCGGGGAGGGGGCCGGGGGCCGCCGCGGGGTGCGGGAGGGCCGGCAGTGGAGGGAGGGAGCGGGGCTGGCGTTTCTTGCAGGATCCGTCCCTCCATCCCTCCATCCCTCCATCCCTCCATCCCTCCATCCCTCCATCCCTCCATCCCTCCATCCCTCCATCCCTCCAGGCTGCTGCGGCGCTGCGTGCGGCTCTGCAGCGCGGACCGGCAGCTCCCCGCTGCTCTCTGCCGCTCCTGCGCGTCTGCAGGAGCGCCTGCAGCCCGCCGGGATCCGCTGAGAATCCTGTGCTGGATCCCGCTGGGATTCCTCCGTGAATCCCATTGTAATACCTACACGAATCCCACTGTGATCCCCCCATTAATCCCACTGTGATCCCTCCATGAATCCCATTGTAATCCCTCCATGAATCCCACTGTGATCCTGCCGTGAATCGTGTTGTGGATCTCATTGTGATCCCTCCATGAATCCCACTGCGGTCTCTTCATGAATCCCACTGTGATCCCTCCATGAATCGTGTTGTGGATCTCTCCATGAATCCCACTGGGATCCCTTCATGAATCATGTTGTGAATCTCACTGTGATCCCTTCATTAATCCCACTGTGATCCCTCTGTGAATTCCATTATGATCCCTACTATCCTGCCACAATCCATCCATGAATCCTGTTGAGATCCCTCCATGAATCCCACCATGATCCCTCCATGAATCCCACCGTGATCCCACCATGATCCCTCCATGAATCACTCCATGAATCCCATTGTGATCCCACCATGATCCCTCCATGATCCCACCATGATCCCTCCATGAATCCCACCGCGAATCCGGCTCTGCGTCCCCAGCTTCCCAATCCAGCTCCTTCCCTCCTGGGCCCGTCACCCACCCCGAGCCACCCCCGTGGGGACACAGAGCCAGGACTGGGACTCCCAGAGAGGAATTACAATTCCTGAGCCAAAATTCCCACGGGAAGCACAAAATCCTCCTTTATGGACATCCGTGTTTGCAGGGAACCCCAAGCCCACCATGGGGACCCCTTGGCACCCATCCTGCTGCACTGGGCCACCAGGGTCACCCCACAGGGACAGGGACAGGGGTGCCCAGAGGTGCCCCTGGCAGAGGCAGTGACGGGGTGAGGGTGGCTGGCAGCGGGCTGGCGCTGCAAAATGCGTTTTCCTGCCGAGTTCCCATAGAAACAGGCGGGAGCAGCCGCCGGGCTGGCGAGGATGAGGCAGAGGAGGGACGGGCAGGAGGGTGAAGGACGTGGTTGGCACTACCTCGGTGATGCCACAGTGCCAACACCACGAGGGCACCGCTGGCCAGCGGCTGCTCCCCACCATGGGGAAGGGACAAGGGACAACAGCGTGGCCCTGTCCGTGTGTCACGGGTGAACATGTGTGTCCATGTGAGTGTCATATCACTGCCAGGCACAAAACCCACCCCAGATGGGCAGTGAGGGGTTTTAAATCCCCCCAAGGCATCGTGATTTCTGCTCCATCTGTGCCCCAGCCGGGCTGGGATTTCTCCCAAAGCTCATCTGGAAGAGGCTGCGTGGCTCCGGCTCCGTCGCTGCTCCTCTCCCTCCCTCTCCCTGTCTCCCAGGATTTGGTAGTAGCATCCCCCACTCCTGTTTTCCGTGGAAAACACGTTAATCCGCAGCAGCAGCGCCTTGAGGAACGCGCTGCCTCCTCTCCATCCTCCTTCCTCCGCACCTTCGCAGCTCCACGCCCACCCGGGGAAGTCCGGGGAGGTGATGATCCAAACCATCCCTGCTTCTCCTGGCACCCTGAGGGCACGGGCGGATGGAAAGCTGCAGGCAGAGGGAGGGAGTGGGCACGTGTGGACCCCCCTTCCAGCCCTGCCCGCTCCTTCCACCATCCCAAGCTGGAAAATCCTCCGGGTTGGGTTGTTCTGTGTGGGCAGCGCTGCTTTTCCGCGTGGATTTGGTTTGATTCCGGTTTTTAACCGGCGGGAGAAGCACAGGGAGACCTTCCAGGGCCTGTCCAGAGCCAGTGGAAGTCCAGAGCTGGAGCAGGGAAAAGGCTCTGGAGAAGGGAAAAGGCTCCAGAGCGGGGAAAAGGTTCTGGAGAAGGGAAAAGGTTCTGGAGAAGGGAAAAGGCTCCAGAGAAGGGGAAAAGGTTCCAGAGAAGGGAAAAGGTTCCAGAGGAGGGAAAAAGGTTCCAGAGAAGGGAAAAGGCTCCAGAGAAGGAAAAAGGCTCCAGAGTGGGGGGAAAAGGTCTGGAGAAGGGAAAAGGCTCTGGAGAAGGGAAAAGGCTCAGGAGCAGCGGCTGCAGGGCAAGGTGGCCCCGGCATGCAGGGAATGAGGCTGGATGGTGGCAGGGAATGAGGCTGGACGGTGGCAGCAGTTGTGGCCTTAATCTGCGAATTCACTAAAGCTCTTTAATAAAGATTCAAAGTCACCAAGTTCTCAATTAAGGGATGAGGCAGCTCTTGATCCGCGTTTCTGGGTCAGCCGGAGAAAGGCCATTTAAGACCTTTGATGTTTCCAGGGAATGAGCACCTGGCTGTGGCTCGGCCTCCTCCGGGGCAGGACCCACAGCCCCGATCCAAGCCCGGCTGCTTCTGACTCACGGGCCCGTTTTGAGGGAAAGTGGAGCTGCAGGAGCAAGTCCAGAGGTCACGGAGGTGCTCCGAGGGCTGGAGCATCTCTGCTTGGAGCCAGGCTGGGAGAGGAGGAGACAGGAGGCTCCAGGGAGAGCTCAGAGCCCCTCCCAGGGCTTGGAGGGGCTCCAGGAGAGCTGGAGAGAGATCTGGGACAAGGAATGGAGGGACAGGACACAGGGAATGGCTCCCAGTGCCAGAGGGCAGGGATGGATGGGATTTTGGGAAGGAATCCCTCCCTGTGAGGGTAGGGAGGCCCTGGGATGGATTTCCCAGAGAAGCTGGGGCTGTCCCATCCCTGGAAGTGTCCAAGGCCGGGTTTATGGGGTTTGGAGCCGCCTGGGATAGGGGAAGGTGTCCCTGTTCCCTGCCCAGCTCTCCCGGAGCGACTGGAGATCAGTGGCACCCTCTGCACCCGTGGGTGGCCCCCGCCCCCCCAGGAGACCCCCGGCTCTCCAGGGCTCTTCGAACCCTCTGTTTACCCCAACAGCAGCCGCCTGCACGGGTGTTAATTACAGGAGCTGGCAAGGCACTAATTAGGGATAATGAGACGCCTTTGTGTGTGTTCGGCAGCCCGGCGACAGACGCGCTGCTCCGAGCGCCCCGCGGGCTGGGATGGGCCTGTCCGTGATGCCCCCGTGCGTGTCCGTGATCCTGGGCCGTGTCCGTGATCCTGGGCCGTGTCCGTGATCCGCCCGTGCCGTGTCCGTGATGCCCCCGCGCCGTGTCCGTGATCCTGGGCCGTGTCCGTGATCCTGGGCCGTGTCCATGATCCCCCCGTGCCGTGTCTGTGATGCCCCCGTGCGTGTCCGTGATCCCCCCGTGCCGTGTCCATGATCCCCCCGTGCGTGTCCGTGATCCCGGGCCGTGTCCGTGATCCCCCCGTGCCGTGTCCGTGATCCTGGACCGTGTCCGTGATCCCCCCGTGCCGTGTCCATGATCCCCCCGTGCGTGTCCGTGATGCCCCCGCGCGTGTCCGTGATCCCGGGCCGTGTCCATGATCCCCCCGTGCCGTGTCCGTGATCCTGGGCCGTGTCCGTGATCCCTCCGTGCCGTGTCCGTGATCCTGGATCATGTCCGTGTCCCCCCACTCCGTGTCCGTGTCCCCGCACCCCGTGTCCATGTCCCCACACCCCGTGTCCCCCCACTCCGTATCCGTGTCCGTGTCCCCCGGAACACGCCGCGGGAGCGGCGCTCGGAGGGATTTGGGGGTCCAGGAGCTTCTGGAGGGACCCCCAGGAGGGTTTGGAGATCCAGGAGGGTTTGGAGGGATCCCCAGAAGGATTTTGAGGTCCAAGAGGGTTTGAAAAGACCCCCAGAAAGGTTTTGGAGGTACAGGAGCATTTGGAGAGACCCCCAGGAGGGTTTTGCAGATCCAGGAGGGTTTGGAGAGACCCCCAGGAGGATTTTGGAATCCCAGGACACTCGGTGGTGGTGGGTGCTGAGCTGGGGATGAGCTGGGGCCGAGCAGCCCCGAGCAGCCCCGAGCAGCCCGCAGGGGCTCGGGCGGCTCCGCGGGGCCCCGGGGCTGCCGTGCCGTGGGTCGGGCTCCGGTGGAACAGCCGGGACCGGTCCGGCAGCCCCGGCCGCCTCCCCGCCCTGCCCGGCCGGTCCCGCGGGCCGAGCCCCGAGCCCCGAGCCCCGAGCCCGGCACGGCTTCCCGGGGAGCTCCGGGGGGCTCCGGGGGGCTCCGGGGGCACGGCTGGGGGTATGGAGGGGCTGTGCCCGTGGGGCAGAGCCCTGGCACCGCAGCCCAGCCTGGGGGGAACAGCTGGAAAGTTCCATCCCGCTGGCACTGCCCCCCCGGCTGGGCACCGGGAGGGCTTGGAGGGACCCCGGGAGGGTTTGGAGAGACCCCAGGAGGGTTTTGAGGGACCCCAGGAGGATTTTGGAGAGACCCCATGAGGGCTTGGATGGACCCCAGGAGGGTTTTGGAGGTCCAAAAGGTCTTGGAGGGACCCCAGGAGGGTTTGGAGAGACCCCAGGAGGGTTTGGAGGAACCCCCAGGAGGGTTTGGAGAGACCCCAGGAGGGTTTTGGAGGTCCAAAAGGGCTTTGAGAGACCCCAGGAGGGTTTGGAGAGACCTCAGGAGGGTTTGGAGGGACCCAGGAGGGTTTGAAGGGACTCACAGGAGCATTTTGGAAGTCTAGGAAGGTTTGGAGCAACCCTATGAGGGTTTTGGAGGTCCAAAAGGGCTTGGAAGGACCCCAGGAAGGTTTGGAGAGACCTCAGGAGGGTTTGGAGGGACTCCCAGGAAGGTTTTGGAGGTCCAGAAGGATTTAGGGGGACCCCTGGGAGGGTTTTGGAAGTCTAGGAAGGTTTGGAGGGACCCCCAGCGGGGTTTTAGAAGTCTTGGAGGAACCTCCAGGAG